TAGGCAAAGCTAACACTGACGGAAGCGCAAATGGCACTTCGAAAGGAGCATATCAAGGAGATGATGCACGAAGCACGTCTGATGCGTCACTACGATCATGACAACGTTGTGCGAATTTACGGTGTTGCTGTGGATCGAGAACCGCTTATGATTATTATTGAATTGGTTAGCAATAAGCTATGGCTAATGTGGATAAAATCTTCACATACAGTAATTAAAACATGGAGAGTTTATCAAATTAAGTGATATTTTGATAATTTCTCGCATACTGGAGTGTTATCGTTTTATGCTGTGGACAAGGAAAATGGAATTGTGAATGAGCGGGAAGGGAAGAAAGAGGAAAATTTGGTCATTATGCAATGTTGTCGCTTTTTAACCGCGAGTTCTTGTAAGCTGAATGTGAGATGGTGCTGCATATCCTTCTCAAAGCATGCTTATCTAGAGCAGAGAAGACGTATTATGTTGTTGTGGGTTTGAATATTACCGAATTTTTTCAAACTTTGTTCTTGGCCTGATTCATCGGTATAAAAATTGGGTCAAGGACAAAGCTCAAAAAAAATTCAAAGCTGAAACTCTCCTGTTGTAATGCGCCTATACTAATAAAAACCATCCGCCGACAAAGTAGCCGATCAAGTGAGCAAGCTGCTGGTAAGTTTGAACCCTAGGCTTATAACAGTACCAATTTACCATCAAAACGATAACATTACAAATCTTTTTAACATTAGCTGTCTTATCTATTTCACTGACGAGTCCGATGGACTTTTAGTTTTGGCTAACCTTACTGGTCACTAATACCATGTTCATCAACAAGTTCAGACTGCTGCACCCGCTTGCTTTTCAGATAAAGGGTGGATGCCTGTCCGATGATCTCAAACAACGGAAAGGAACCGTATCGAATGAGGAAAAAGTGGAAAAGATGTGTTTAGGAGCGGCACGAGGCTTAGAGTACTTGCATTCCAAGTACTGCATCCATCGCGACGTCGCAGCACGTAATGTTCTTTACACCAATGATAAAGTGGTTGGTTCGAAGCAATTTTCTCAGTTTGTTAAATTTTAAAATGTAATTCTAACTTTTTTAGATTCAAATTTTTATTAATTAACGAGAGGCGGCTCATATGAAAA